CCTGTTCCTGTTAAATATTAAACCTTGACTCATGAGCACAACAGGGTAATGGGCTCAACTAATTCTGAGCCACTGGATTATTTTACCTGTAAATGAGTCTAATTTTTCGGCCTGCTGTTGGTCTAGCTAAGCTATTTATGAGCGACTTAATGCTAAATAATACAATCTTCTCAGTTCACCTTAAACCTCTGTAAATCTCCTTTGGCTAACTGTTTGGATTATTCCAGGGGAGCATTTGAAAATCACCCTGGGCCTGCTTTCTTTTCTACAATAATCTTTAGCATTCGGCCAGTTAGCTTTTGGTTAGCTTTTTGGATTAGCCTTTGCCAATATTCTTGGCTAATAAAACTTAGAGGAAATGAATTGTTGTTGGAAATGGACATTATAATCATTTTCAGAATCATTGTTAGTAAGTATAAAACTGAACTAAGCTACCAAGAAACACACAAAGTTTTCCAGTATGACCATTGTCCTCCGGTGTCTACCCTTGACCCCAAAATCAAGAAATAATGATTCCCTCCAGCAGTGGTTCTCAATTATTTTCCGCCAACACAAAGTTTTCGAGTATGACCTTTGTCCTCCGGTGTCTATCCTTGGACCCAAAATCAAGAAATAATGACCCCCTGCAGCAGTGGTTCTCAATTATTTTCCGCCATGCCACCTCTAGGGGACAGAAGTTTTTTCACGCCCCTCTCCCTGGTTTTAAATACTACTAATCACCTGGTAATATTTATTTATCTGTACAAAATGAGCTGCTCTGCTGCCATCTAGTGACTGGAGGCTCGTTTTATCAATCAAGCATGAATAAAGACAGTGTAGTAAAAATCCCCCCGCCTGCCCCCGATGAGAAGCACTTTCATAAATATTTATTTTTTGTTTAGTTTGGTTTTTTTTAGTTTCTCTTTTATTATTTATATATTGCATTGGACATATAATAAAACTCATATTGTACTTCCTAATACAGGGTAGGTTTTTTTTTAAAAAAATGATACACTGCGATTATCTGAATCTGATTCACTACTATTACAACTTTGTACACGTGACCGCTCGGGCAGGAGCAAGCCTTCTCATACATCCGCTAATGCTAGATTAGCAAAATAAATCCAAAGCAAACAAACGAAAAGCTGCATTTACCAGAAGCTGATTTGTGATTAAATGGTTTTGGCAGGTGATAAACACAAATCCACTTCAGAGCTCCAATCACTGGCCACTCACTCTGTTGCTGCCCTTGCTAACACTTCTGTGATTTAATGGACTTGGCTTTTAACCAAAGATGGGGCTTTTTTCCTCTGTAAGAATCTGGAGACTGGAGATTTGTAACTTGGATGAACAGAAAGTATTTTTCCATCTTCTATCTGTCCATCAGTCTGTTAGTTTAAATATCAGTTAATACAGACTCCCAAAATGGGGGGTGCAGTGCCATTTAAGGCGGCGTGCAGATGGAATAAAAGAATGAAACGTAGAGAATGTTGTCCAATGCTGTAAATATATATATACAAGAGACTGCGGAAAAAATGATTGGTTGAAGGCGGTTTAAAATGAATATTTTAACACTCTAGGTATATCGGTATCAGTGGACATCGGAATCGGAAATTAAGTCTTTGGACAATATCCTCATACCGGATATCGGCAAAGGGTTAATATCGGACACCCCTAGTTTTTTTTTTCTCTCTCTCTGTCTGTTTAGTATGAAGCAGCCAAGCAAGCAACGCAGACATTCCTAAAATCCCCTTATCATTAAACAAAATAACTGGTTCACTAAGGTCATCGCAGAGACAGATAAGACGATGCTGTGAGACACAGGTTTCCGAGCAGACAGAAATCACAACGCAATTCTCAACACGAAGAAGATCAAAGCGAATCTTTTAAATGCTCAAAGCAAATGATCTGCAACAATGCCGTGATACCTGTGTCATTTCCACAGATATTCATGTCAGTGCAATCAAACGGTTTTATCCTGTAGCAACAGATGCTGCAGACTTGAGTGTTTCCACCTGAAGACTGCTGCCGGAGCCGGAGCCGGAGCCGAATCTGTGCGTCATTTCACAACGGCTGAAAGAGGAATAAACAACCGTCTTGGTCTTATCACCCCGGTACAGGTTATTTTTAGCAGCTTTCATTCCATGTTTCCGTCCCGTGGCCGGATTTGATTGGTGGAGATCTGTCAGAAAAATAAGGAGATGTTTCTGCAGCTCGGGGCTGACAGGCTGTCGGAGGCAGGAGAGGACTAAATTGTCTCATTATGTAGCGGGTTTGTGACAGGCCGAGGGCCGCTGTGCGAACTGCAGCACAATTACTTCACAGTCGTATACTGTTCCACTCTGTGTGCGCGTGTGAATGGGTGTGCGCGTCTGTATTACCCCCCCGCCCCCCGCTCCCCCGTTACTGTCCTACTGTTTCAACTCCAGCAGCAGTTCTCTTCATAATACGGTGCTGTAGCCACAGCAGAAGTCACATGACATATGTAAAGTGTCAGTTGAACAGTTGAACCGAAGAGATCTAAGATCTTGACTTAGAACAGCGGGTGAGAATGTATTTAATATGTCAACTCAAGGAATGGTTTTAAGACCATGGTTCTCAGACGGAAAAGGTTGAGAGGGAACCTGTCCGCTTGTCATATTTCATCATATATTCGTCTTGTGTTCAGTATAGATAACCGTTCGTTGCGGTATCCAAGGGCAGCAGCAGCAGCGTAAGTCATAACCAGGGAATCTAAAACTGCAGAAAATGTGTTTGGTTGCTGTGAAGTAATAGTAATAGGCCATAAAACAAAAACATTCCTAGGGGCTTTGGAAAACTTCTCTCAGCCAAATTTGCTGTTGTCTATCTGACAGTGTGAGGCTTAGAGGAAGATAAGTTGACCCAGCAGATCTGTGAACGTTGCAGTCTGAAGGAAGTATTGAGTCAGTTACAGCCTTAGATGATTTTTTTTTAAAGCCTTCTCACCTGTTAACGTCAATTTTAACCGGCCTAGTTTATATAGGAGATAATGTTAGTTCTTTTTTTTTTTTCATTTTAAAGTAACCAGAAAATCAAACTTGCTGTATGATTAATTAATCACAGACTGATCAATCATCAAACTACCGTCTGTATCGATTCACAATTTTGTTTTCTTGAGCTTTGGTCAATCTGTACTTCAAGTATAATAATACAGAAGAAGAAGTTAAAATATTAAATTAAACTTAGTTTAGAATGCATTGATGTTTCTCCTCCTCTGGATTGTGTACCACCACTATTGAGAGAGAAAAAAAAAAATCGAAATTATTATTTGAGAAACATCAGAGGGGTGATTAAAAAAATCTAAAAATATATACATATATATACACATACATATACACATACATATATACACATACATATATGTATCTATAGATACATATATACATACATATAAACATATATATACACATACATATACTGTATATACACATATATACACATATATACATATATAATATTTTTAGATTTTTTCTCTCGATATTTTTTATCATCTTTCAAAACCCTCCTTTATCCCTTTTCTTCCCATCCCAGCAGCTCGTTTTATATCATTAGTGTTTAAAGATTCATCTTTTTTTCTTCTTGATAAGAAGTCTTCTTAACCTCTGTCCAGAACTTTGGTCAAACTTCTGACCACATCTGCCGCTGTTTCCTTACTCCATTGCTCATAATTCTGAGGAAGTTCTTTCTCCTTGGAATTCAGCAAATGGTGCCAGTGTCTCTGAAGGGGGGAGACATGAATGTCATGACCCCTTAGAAGACATGTCAATCAGTTTTGTGATGAAAACCAGCCTTACAGAATTTTCTTTTTCCAAACCAAAACGTCCTTAAATTTCCTAGTTTCTGGTCCCACCAAGAGTCCCTGGTACTAATTCTTGCAATACAAAACAAATAGTTCATTCAAAAGTTTATCTTGCACGAGCCGGCCCCCCTCAATGTGCATCCGGAAAAGATCCATCCCTTTATTGCGTTTAATGGATGGTAGTAATGTCAGTTGTGGTTCATTGATACTTTCTCAAGCTCAGGATTTGGTCATAAAAACATTATGACCGGTTACTATTTTTAGTTTCTATTGGTAGGTTCCTTAAGCAGTCCACTTTGTATGGTTTGAAGTGAACCTCCAAATACAGTCATTACTGCATAATCATTCCTGTCTTCTCTGCACTGACACATACAAAAGTCGCAGTATAAATTATAACGTGTGGTCGCAAGACATGTCTTGAAGTGTCAGAATAAAGAATAGATATTTTCTTTACGTAAAAGATCGGAGCACAGTGTCGAAATAGAACTTGCTATCAAAACACTGTATAGACCAGGGGTGTCAAACATACGGCCCACTTTATGGATTTTGAAAATAAAAAAAATACACAAACACTTCATCTCCAGGATATTTTTTTGTAACTGTAACTGTTTTGACTGTACTGGTCCGGCCCACTTGACATTAGTTTGGTTGTATGCGGCCCGTGAACCAAAATGCGTTTTGACACCCGCTGGTACACACTAATAAAGACTTGCTGAAAAGGCACGAGGACAGAGTCGAGGAAGAGCTCGGATAGTGCGAAAGTGGTAAAGAGTATTAGAACACGGGTACTGGGATCTGACCGAGAACATCTGGGATCAATCTCCAACGCACACAACTCCGTGAGAGTAGAACTGCTCTATAATCTGAGATCAAACACCGCAGCGGGACGCTTTTCCACCCCGACCGCCTGCTTCTTTGTTTGCGATGGTCGGAGACAGCGTGAGGGTAGACGCGAGACACCCGCGTTTAATGTTTGGTTCGGTGATCCAGTCTGTTCTTAATATGACAGCGAGATGAATTGAAGAACAGATAGCATAACTGTGGGTGGCCGCTCGCTCACACACGCGCCCACACACGTAAACATTTATTTGCAAGTTAAAGAATCATCTATTAAACAGCGTTTATGGTTATGTTTCCTAACAATGTTAGCCTCTTTTTCCTCTCTTGTTATTCTATTATTTATCACTGTGTTTGCCCGTAGGTCCCATGGCCTCCGTGGAGCATGGCAGAGAAGTAGAAGAAGCCCCCACAGTGAGAAAAATGGTCCAGCAGAGTCCTGCAAGGGGAGGTCAACCTCACAGACCGGCCGGCTGGAAGAGGAGACGCCCTCGGCCCCGTCTGTCTCACAAGGTGCCTATGCCGTTCTAGAGCAAGGTGAGTAAGAAGGGGGAAATGATGGAAGAGATTTTTGGGAATTTTTTTCTGTTAGAACTGTCCCACTTCTGCGCTTTTAATACTGCTGCAAAATCTTACTTAATATTTTATCAAAACCGCAACGGGTTTCAACAGCCCAGGCGGGTTTCTGTAGCTCATCCAAACTGCATGATTTTTTTCCACGTGGAACGTCATTTTTTTAACATCATTTTTAAAACATCACTTCGTTTTACGTAAACGCCAGACAACAGTGTTTACAAGGATTGCAACTTTGTTTTACGTAAACACCAGACAACAGTGTTTACAAGGATTGCAGATTAGAATGATGAAATTAGATTTAGGCAATAATATATTATTAATACTATTAGTCGCTCCGCAGTATAAGGTGCACCAGCCAGCTAGAGTGCCCTCTAGTGGCTGTCAGTGCGAAAATAACCAACATGCACATTTTCAGTGGTACAGGAGTAGCAGATACTCGTACACAAGCCTAGAGTGCCCTCTAGTGGCCGTCTATGTGAAAATAACAAACGTGAAATTATACATTTTAACATCTAAGTCGCAATCCCAGCTAGTCCTGAAAATATGGTCACTATAATTCACAACAAGAACAGTTGCTTGTTTCCATTAAAGTTCTGGAAGTATTTGACCAGAAGTGAGTTCCGTTTGAGAACTCTATTTCAACTTCAACAGAGGAGCAGGTTTATCCAAACACCGGTGATGCACAGCTCTTTATTACTGCCATCTCCTGAGGAAACAGTTCTACCGAGAACATCTCTAAAGGAAACAGTTCTGAAATACTTGGTCGGCAGAATGCATGTGGATGATTGTGTTGGCGACAGGAGAAGTCAAACTACTGCACAGATATTCTAGTAATGGCCATGAAATTAGCTCCAGCGCAGGGATGTTTTTCTTGGCACCGAAGAAAGAACGTGTCCGAACAGATTATTGGACACTGGCCGACTGGGCTGCATAGTTTGCTAGAAAGGCACAGGTATTATTTTCAACTACGTCATTTATTCCCGCCCGTGATGGAAAGACGTTTTTTTTTTTTTTTTAATCAGCTCAAGCAGCAACATTTCTGATTCATCTGATGTCATCACTCTGCAGAGGATTATTTCTCCAGTTGTTACTTTTTCGAGACTCAAGGTTTGGCTGTTGAAAGTTTTTCTTACAAAGTATCATTAGCTTTTTTTTATCCTTTGATCAAAAAGACTTCGCTTTTCATGTTCTAAAAGTTTTTTTATATTATTCAAACAAACCAACAGTGTGAACTACAGCCAAGAACAGTTTTTAGGGAATGAAATAGTTCTTGTTTCTGTTCCTGCGGTAAAAGTCCAAAGCTTACAAACTCCTAGCGTCCCTGCTCTTTAACAACGATTTTGTCCAAAGTCGTTTCTTTTTTGTTGATCACAGACGAAAGTCATATCTGTAGTTAGTTCCAGATACTCAGAAAATAATATTGACATCTGACAAAATAACTATACTATAACGTTTTGTTTAAGTTGTTTCAAATTCTGTTTTAAAAAACAAAGCAGTAGCATTAGATTGATGGCTTTGAACTGTTTACATATCAGTCCCAGACACTGAAGCGACAGAGAAATTTGACAAAACACGAAATCCCTTCAGGAGGTTCACAGAAGACAAAGCTGGCCTACAGAGGTCACCATAAATCTATCACAAAGGAAGAAGAGGCTGCAGCTAGAAGACGCTTTAAATCTTATTTTTTAAGAGAGCAGATAAAAGCCATGAAGTTCCAGAAGCACTTTTCTCTAAGGGTTTAAAAAAAAAACTCGCTCGTAAATAATAAATCTTAACATTTTCTTTGAACAACGATAAACTTCGATGTCTACCTCTCAAAACAATGAGGGGGTAAAATCATTGTGCACTTGTAAAAGACTCCAGTCCTCCCCAGGCTAACAATAGTGGTCATCAGTCAGAAATCGGTCCAGACAACAAAGGGAGCTTTAGATTTGGTAAAGATTACATACAAATTAATGACTCACCGAGTCAAAAGTCTCAGCAATCAAGACTTCAGCCAGGACAAACCAAATATGCCCTCCGTTTACCTCAGGTCTTTCTTATGAAAGACTTAGCTTAGAGCAGAGATTTAATAATAATAATACAGATACGCTGCGACATGCTGCCCCCTGCAGGCGCCAGGTATGTGTTTTCTCTTGGAATTGAACTCAGGATTACTTGCTCGCTGCTTCAGAGGGAGGTGTGCTAACCGCTACACTATGGAACCACTATAATAAATCCCTTTTGTCCGGTCTTGGATTTGAACCCACACGGAGTCTGTGTTACTCTCGCTGAGCCAACAAGTCACTAAAAGGTAGTTGGCCAGTACAAGGATCGAACCCGTGACGTGCATTCATGGATATTTATTTCCTTGTATTTTGTGCACGTTTATGCCTCCAATATTTCTTTTAAAGGAGAAAGAAAAATCCAGTACGTGTATTCTAAAATGGGCCTCACACTCACACCCCTGACATGTTGTCATCAGTACTCAGGCACTGATGATGCACACAGAGAGAGGCTTCCTCAGGGTTCAGTCTCAGCTTGTTCAATGTCCACGCGGAGACAGTTGAGATGTCAGATATCAAGCATCACTTCTGCTGCCGTTTACCCCTGTTAACACTTTAATTAGAAAAACTGTCAATCTCCTGTTTCCTTTTGTCAAAAAAAAATGTAAAGGATTTTTACTTGACATGATTGCCTTCTTATAATATTGTTAGACATGTCACGGTTTGTTTTGTTTTTTTTCCAAAACTTAAATTCGCAGCAGCTCTACGTAAAAATTCGTCTTAAAGCCGTGTAGAATCACTCTCTATAGTTTCATTTATCGTACTTTCCTTGACTATAAGTCGCACTTTTTTTCCTCCTTTGGCTGGGTTAGCGACTTACACTCAGGTGTGGCATCATTTAGCCATTGTTGTATCAACCCTCAATCAATAACCTTCATTAGTCCGTGGTTCTGTTAGTCTTGGATCAGTAAATTCTAGTTCTGTTACTACTATATTGAGAAATCTTGTGTAAAATCTTGAAAAATTTTACACAAAAATCTTGAAAAATCTTTCTGGAAAAATCTTGAAGCAGTTAGTCCTAGGTCTATTAGTTATGGATCAGCTAATACTGGAACAGCTAGTCCTTGTTCAGTTAATCCCTAATCAGTAACACAGGTTTAGTAGATTCTGTTCCGCTCTGTTAGTGGATGAATAAGATCCAAGGTCAGTTAGTCCTGTTTCAGTAAAAACATCGGCTAGAAAGGCTTGTCTGACGTCATCTGGCTTTATTTTCCTTCATCAAGATTATTTAAAACTCGACTAAAAAAAATCCTTCCAGGACCCGAACTGTGTTAAGGTTTAGAAAACTGATCATCTCCAAAGTCTTCATCAGTAATTGCTTTAAAACTTGCTGAGGTAAGACTAACGGACGGCTCAGGATCTGTTTGTTTTATGGGAAGTTTTAAGTTCCCTTCACTAATGGTTATGATTTTTTTTTTTTTTCAGGCACAGCTTTGAGCACCCTTCCCCAGGTTCTGATTTCTCTGCTCTTCCTTCGCCTTGGGGGGCCTTGCTATGAAGGGCCAACCCTTGTCCAGCCAGAAGAGTGATGTCCATAGCACCTGCTGGTTCTTCAAGCAAACTCTGTCCTCACAAACATCAGGACGATGGCTCACCCCCAGCTCTGGAGGAGACGGGGGGCAGGGACGGGAAGGGAGGTGGGGGTGGGAGGTGTGAAGCCTAAGCTGTCACTTTCTATTTCTCTGTCTCTCTCTTTCTTTCTCTCACTCCCTTCAGAATTGTATCATCTATCTCTGTCTACTCCCCGGTTTTTCTACATTTTTAAGTATTTCTGTTATGATTTTAGCCCAATCAGTAGCAAAACTCGCCGTGGGTCTCTCTCTCACACACACACAAACACACACACACTTTTGCATAACATGTGATGGTGAGGGAGCGAAGTTCGGACCATCTGAGTCCCCATGCCACATTTGTCTTTATGGTGTTAATCCCATATTTTTGGGACTCAAAGATTCCAAAGCCCTAGTTTCTCTGCAGTGTAGCCATGTCCACAGTCTGGATAATGAAAGAGACGCAGCGACTCTGCACAAGATGTTCAGCTCACTAACAACACTCTGGAAAGACGGAAGGTTCTGAGTTTAAAATTAAAAAAAAAAAAAAATTCAAAATATCTTCACTAATGGCGCTACACTGTGAAAAATGAAAAAGCTGAGAAAACTCAAAATTCTCAAGAAAATTCATGGTAAACTATCTCTGCCAACAAATACGATTTTAGGATCCGCTGAGCCAGCTGAGTTTGGTTGAGTGAAGAAAAAGCCGAAAAAGCCGATAATTGAACTAGAAAATTCGAATTATTTGACTCTCAAACACTGAACTATGTTTCCCAAAATCCGAGAATCAAATTGTTTCCTGAAGCTTCTTCCACCTTTAAACCCGTTTCCTGACTTTAGAGACAATCATGATTTTAAACTAAAGCTGTGTCAGTCACAGCCACGACGTTGTTTTGTCTGAATGTTACTTGTTTTCAAAGACAAACGTGAATTTTCTTTTTTTTAAGAAAAAGTACAACTCTTCTCTTATTCCTATTAAATTCAGATATATGTTACAATATTTCAGACAATCTTTTATTTTGTCGAACTTTCCATCGTTTTCAGAAACCCCTTTCTGCTTTTTGAAAACATTATCGATTCTCCAAATTTGTGCGTGGGAATTTTCTGGCTTCCTCCCACAGCCCCAAAAAAACACACGGATTAGATATTTACTTAGCATTATTGTAAGTGTGAATGCTTGTTTGTGGCCCAGTGATGGACTAGTGAGTTGCCCAGGATGTAGTCTGCGTTATGTTCCTGTACAATTTGATTTGGGCTAATATTCAACTGTTGGTTTAGATAAGTTAACCAATAACCATTTTTGAGATTTCTCAGTTTGTTTTCGTTTTTCCAGTGTTGCTGGAGTGAAGTTGTTGGAAATGACCTTTTAAGTAACAGATGAATTCCAAAGTTATATTTGGTGTAACTGAACTCATTGACACCTTCCGTTGGGGTCGTCTGACACACTCAAGGTCACCGTAATGTGTCAAACCTTGGCTGAGTGCACTGCCCCCGAATCCCAATCCCCCCCCCCCCCCCCGCCCGCCCCCCCGCCTCTCCTCGCTCCACACGACTGTTAACTGGTAGGGGTGCTTTGCCAGGGGCCGCCTCACCTTTTAATGAAGTGCCAAATATAAAACCTTGTCCGTAATGCTACCAGGAAAAAAAAAAAAAAAGCTGAAACACTTTACCTCTTCTTTAAAGTCTTGATACACTGACATACACGCCGATATTTCCGCAAACAAAAAAAAAAAATTCTACATCTAACGAAGGACAAGTGAAATTAGACCAAAAATGATTTTAAAAAAAAGAAGTGAAACCAATTTAAAAATAAAACAAAACTGAGCTCAGTTTTGAAAAAGCAGCCAAACACCGGCTGCAGCTGGTTTCACCTCCTTCAACTTATTTACTGATTAAACTCAATGCCTTTTCCATGATACTGGAATATTTTACTCTTGAAGATTATTTCTATGTTAAAGTAGTTTTCGTTTTCTTTTTTCTCAGGGTGTACTGTGTACTACGACGGTCAATTCTGTTTTTATTTAACAGCACCATGGTGACATAGCATTAAATCCGTGTATTTTTTTTTTTTTTTTTTTTGTTGTATCTTTACTCTCTTCCCTGTATGTATTCACCGGTATAGACGCGTATCCGATAAGACGTTTCTTTCATGCGTTGCCTTCACGATCAGACATTGCCATCCCCACCTTCTCCTCCTGCCCCTGTCACCACCACCCCCCTCCTGCACCCCCACCCCTTCCTACTCCAGAGCACAGGTGGTTGGAGCTTTGATCCTTACACTCATTAAATCCTGGAGTTAATCTTTCTCAGATGGATCTCCAGAGGCTGACAAGGCCACTTTAGTTTAAGCTCACTCTTAAATTGGCTTAGACTGAAACCGCCATGCCAAATCACCTCAACCTTCCTTAACCAATCCCAGAACACCTGATGATTGAGGCATGATCCACTACCACTGCTATGATTTTTTATAAAAACAGAAGTTCCACGTGGAAATGATCTTCCTCCAAATTCTGGCTCAGTATTTCCTTTTGATCAGTGTCTTTTTCTAGCAATAAATCAAGAGCCTTTGGTGGTCCAATCAAACTTCAAGCGACCACGCTCCACGATCGGCACGGCATTGATAAGGATGGTTTAAACCAGTGGTTTCTCAATTATCTTCTGACATGCACCCGCTAGGGAACAAAAATGTCTTCATGCCCCCCTGAATTGAAATACTATTGAGAATCTGGTAATATGAATTTTCTTATCCGTACAAATTACTGTACGAGTTGTTGCCACCTAGTGACTGGAGGCTTATTTATCGTTCAAGCATTAGAGCAGGCTGGATGCCTATCACGCCCAACCCCTCCCGCCCCCCTGGCACCTCAACGTACCCCCTCCCCCATGGGGCACCACTGTTTGAGAAGCACTGGTTTAAACCAATCAGATGACACGCTCGAAGAGGAGCAGGATTAGTGGCCAAATTTGCCAGATCACCCTGCGTACATTTAAAACAAGACCCTATTGGTGTAAACGCGGCTTTAGTGTGTAAGCATTTAAGAAATTGGTCAAAGGAGCCTGACGATGAGCCACCACAGTTGCGGGGAGTCTCTTAAGTGTGCAGCGCAAATTCCTCCTTTTTCAGTGAAAAATCTCTCCTCTCCCCACGTTTTATGCAAATATTCTAACACAACTGAGCGTTTTCGAAGTCCCAGCGTGAAGCGGTTTTAATGAGAGAGCTGCGCGCACACTGATTAAAAGGGAATTGAATCCCGGGGGCACTGTAAAGCAGAATCATTTCAGTTCCACTACTTTTATTTCCCGCATTTCCCCCTCCACACTTGCCCAGACAGAGATGTAGATTGTAATTAACTTTCCTCTGAAAAGAGACAGCTCTGCTCAGGATGTCTTATGATTTATTGAGAAGGAAGAAAGGAGCTGGGGATGGAGGTTCAAAGTCGCAGATTGCTGGGATGTAAGAAGTGGACTAGGACATGTCAAAAGGGGTTCAAATGTAACGTTAGCCCCCATCTCAGAAGTTTTAGTTAACGAGCCCAGCGACGTCTGTATCTGCACCGTTCCTCATGAATGTATCCTCACCATCTGCACCAGCCACGCCACCCTTTCAGAGACCAGACCAGAGCAAAACATTTTCACCACGTGAAGAAACCCTCTGTAATCCTGCTCTGGTTTTCACTACAATCCAAATATAAAAAAAAACCTTGCTGATCCCAAAGCCTCAATCCTCAATAATACCTTACCAATAAACATGGTTTTTGCTCCATGGCTTCTCTGCTTGGGTTCACGAGGCTGCACTTTTTTCAATTCCATTATGCTGCTGGAAAAATTCACCTAAAAAATAAGTCTGTTGGTATGGAATAGTTTTCCAGTGTATTGTGACATTTCTTTTGTCTGATCTTTGTCTTGCTGGTTGTCCAAAGCTTACCTTTTTAAATACAGTGTGGAAACCTGTATCTTTTGTGGATGTAACAAAAATAGAAAAAGTAGTCTGCAGCACAATATGTCATGGACACGTGAAAGCTTTCAGGCATTCTCTCTACTCGTAGATCATTGCCCGCAGCCCTGCTCTGCACATCAGGTTAATGGGCCTTGAGCTTGTAGAGGGTACGAGCGCGTTCATGCTCACACTCAGACGCTAAACCAATACATTATTGCTCTGGAAGCAAAAACCATTTTCATTAATGGTCTCTTCCAGCAACAGAAAAGGATTACTGTCCTCTCACTGTTTCCCCCTGTGACATCACAAGGCCTGACTAATCTTCCTATGCAGTTGTTAGCATGATTTCCTGTTAGAAAGAACTGGCTTCACTGTGTTCAGATGTTTTTGTGGCAAACGCATTTGGCTGGGAGAGTGTGTGACGACGAGTGGTGGTGAGAAGTGACGTAAGATGTAGAACAAGAATTAAGTAGCAAGAAAGTTTGTACCATTTCAGCTCCGATCGGCTCCGATTTTGGAATAAGGGGAAACCTTCATGTCAAGTTGATTTTGAATGTTACAGCACAACAGAAAAGTCGAGCAGAACTGAAACCGACTTCACGTTTTGAGCCCAACTTAAGATTTTATGGATAACCTATTCAGTTACACTCAACACAATTGCCTCTGAATACAGACTTGGCGAAAACAAACCAGAAGTCGGGCCGAGGAATCGGCATTTAGCTGACCTGGTCTTCTTTTTTGGGGGGGGGCGGCGGGGGCAACAAGGAGACACTGCAGGGGCATAATTCAAATTTGATGAAAGTGAGTTTTTTCATAGGTTAATGTTCATCTTTTAGTCAGTGCCTTACTGGTGATGTTGGACCCTTTTGGTCTATATGCCATTGTGACCCTGAGCAGGACCTTAACACCCATTTGAATCTACAGACTGTAGTGTAGAGCACTGAAAATACCAAAATATAAATTAATAAATAAATTTCTTTTAAATTCACTCTCGTACAAAATTTAATTAAAAAAAAAAAACAAAAAAACTTTGTGGTAGTTACAAATAAATTGATATAACATTGGGCACAACTAACCGCATCTAAAGAAAACTGGAGTTAAAATATATATGTTTAGAAACATAAGATCTTAAGATGGGCTAAAACCTTTTAGATGCCAATGTCAGGTTTCAAATTCTTTTTTTCCGCACTTCATGCTGAGAGATGGCTCATGACACATTCCACTATTTCCTTTTTGAATCAAACGTCACAGGGTTGGTCTTCAAAGTGGCCGTCTGCAGGATGGAGGGGCTGATATTCAATCCCACGAACTCTAACAAATTTTCAATCATTGATCCAAACCCAGATTCAATTTGCCGGTGGAAATGAGCCTGGAGACTTTCTCCAGCCAGAACAGCACAGGCCCATATCTTCATCCACATTCTGTGTCTGACTCGGCTCCATTCAGCTAAATTTGAGCAGGGACACAAGTGTGTGTGTGGTCTTCACTACAGTGTTAGAGTCTGAGAACCGTGTATTACTGCTGAAACTGATGTTCTGTTCATGGTGTTTGCTCATAAATTAGTCACCAGGCCAAATGTACAGTCAGTCCCTGTCTCTGTTTGATGTTGAACCGGGCAAAAATAAATAAAGACATAAAGAAGTAAACAAATAAATAAATAAAACAAGTGTATCAGAAATGGTTGAAATGCTGTGTACATATTTAAACTTTTGATTTCTAATTTATAAAAGATAAGCTTTAGCTCTTGAAGTACTTATTTTTTATTTTTTGTTTCCTTTCATGCGTAGCTTTGTGTTTTTATTTTCTATTTCTGTAAAGTGTGTAAATATATCTTTATGATAATAAGTAATATTAAAAATCTTATTTTAAGAAAACCTTGTCTTGTGATTTTGGTCATGTTTATTTTTTGTTGTTTTGTTTGTTGAAGTAAAACCTCATAGTAAGTGTTTGAATTGTTGTTGTTTTGTTTGTTGGAGTAAAACCTCATAGTAAGTGTTTGAATTAAGGGTCAGATGTGACTCGAAAATCTACTCAAGTTTTGCAATTAACTAATTTCAATAAATAAA